CCATGGGAAAAAGATGAGGTGAGCTGCTTTTGTAAAGATTTACAGCCTTGGAAACTCTGTGGCAGTTCCACTCTGTCCTAAATGGTCACTATGAGTCAGAATCAATGCAAGGGGTGTGGGCAGGCTTTAGCAATTTACATCAGAATGATATAAAATTTAAGAACTTTGGCTGTATGACATAGCACTCTGCTATCAACACGTATGTACTGCCCAAGGAAGGTAATTTAAAATGTCAATGTGGACATAAGCATAAGTGCTGACTACAATACACCATGACATTGCTTTCTTCCAAGCTTTCCAAACAGCGCTGACCTGATGATGCAATACATGATTTCTCACATATTAATAGCATTATGTTAGTGAATATTATCTTTGTGTTACAGTATCAGAAATAGGTAACATGTCAAAGGAATTTCAGCAATAAGATCTTCCGTTTCCAAGCTTGAAGTAAAAGGTTGAAGTTGGCATATAAATTTTGTTAATAACCTATTCATTTTCAACTTTTCCATTTGATGCAATTGAAGACTGGAATGTTAGTATCCTTCCCTTTGTTTCAAACCAAGGGTTAAGTCTTCTTGGAGTCCTACAGAAACTGCACTTCAAGTGAGGCAAACATTTAGGAAGGCTCTCCTAAAGAGTAGCTTGACTCTTGGTAACAATTTTATAATGGAAGTTTCCTATGAGGTAAGGAGGCAGCAAGCAACCTGAGACAATTTATTTTTTTCCTGACTGAGTCTACTAGAATCACTCAGGAATACACCTCAAATTTACTACATTAAGAACTAAGAGGTTTTTGTGTTTTTTTCTCCCTTGATTGCCAAAGTCCTGAAATTTTAGTAAAAGGAAATCTCCAGTGTGACAATTCTAGTCAGTCTAAAGCCTGAGTCATTTTGCCTAACAGGATATTTCATCATTGAAATTTTATAATAATTGTTGTCTTGGTGGAATAGTGCCATAATTTCTAACGACAATAAGGAATAACTAATTAGTAAGCTCAAATGAGCCAAATTTTCTAATAAAAGAGACACTGAAAAGAGTGAGCTACAGGTCAAACATAAATAGATACCATTAATATAAAAGTTTTAAACACAGATATTGGTATTTATTGTTCATGGCTACTTCCTCTTCAATAAACATTTTTAAATATACCTAGGAGCAATATGCACCTACTGTAAGACAGAAACTACCTCTGATGGTGAGGAGGAGATGGAAATGAGCTTTGGGGGGTATCTGTGACATTTTATTTCCCCAAAACCAACATGTGGAGTATTAAACAAATGTGGCAAAACACTAATATCTGTTCAATCTGAATGGTGGTACTTTTCTGTATTTCTAAAATATTTCCCAACTTAAAAGTAAGTTATTTTTAAGGAATAGAAGTGACCAAATGAACCGAGAACCATATACTTTTATGGTGTTCAAAACAAAATCTCTAAAATCAGAGAACTAATCTCAGTTAACAAAACAGGTATTATAAGACTAAATCCTTTACCACTGTCTTACATACAGATTAGAATAAGATTTACTTATTCTAAACAAAAAAAAAAAAAAGCAAGCTCATTTATGTAGCAAAGTTCAGAGACACTTCATAGGTAATTTACTACTCAAGACCACATTTATCTAGGCTGCAATGAATAATATCAATTATCCAGAACCAGGAAGTAAGTT